CTGCAAAACACTGCAGATTAGACTTGGCAAACGGAGGCTTTTGGATTGCGTGCCCTTGGCCAGTTTAATACAAATGAGACCCCCCCCCCCCATCCCCCAACTTTTCTGTAGACTAGAAGGATAGATTATACACATTTTTGTAGTTAAGCAATACCAACATTCAAGTTTGGTTGTTTATAGAGCAGAATATCTAGATTGTTGTAGGATTAGTTTTGTAGACAAATCCTGAGGAACACCTGCAGTATCATTTTGCCCAAGCAGGCATGCTTATGCCCTGAAAAAGTATACTGGGGTAAGAATAGTAATCATATGAAAAAATCCATTGGATATGAATACTTTCCAAAAATTGGTTGTCTCGGGTGTGTCTACAGTTGGGACACCAATATGATCTTACTGGGACTGGCCATGTAAAAGTCCTCTTGTATCTAGGGTTGGCCTTCAAAAATTGCAACATTCTAAATGCAGGAGATTTTAGATGGATATTTTTTTGTTAAAGCCTCTGTCAGGTTAAAAAAAGTCCTACATTCTCAAAAGAAAGTGTCTTAGTGTTGAAGACTCTCCATATTCTTACCCTACGTGGTACCTCTGAACTATCTAAGCTTACCAAACGTGGTACCTCTGAATGATCAGGCGATTATTCACTGCCGCTTCCAGATGGTACCTGGCCAAAAGGCAGGACCAGACAGAGCAATGATTGCCTCTCTGCCCCTATAGCCATTCAATGCCTCCACCAGACTCGTACCTCATGGCCATGGCTAGGAGGTGATGGATCAACCAATGATTTATGGAAAGACTTTGTAAAAGTAGCATGCTTGCTTTAGAATGAGTAGCAAAATAGAGGGGGGGGGGGGGGGGGGTCAAAAAGTTTAGGGTTAGGCCTGCTAGATTTTTGAAAGATACTGGAGTTACCCATCTGAGAGTTTCCTTTATTTCTCAGGAATTATATATTGGAGAAATCTCTGCACGTTCCCAGGTTTGCATGTCTACTGAGCCCATTATGAGGAGCTCCCACCATTCCTGCTGGATTGTGTGTACTCCTATTATATCGGAGACTAAAACAGCAACAGTATACACAAAGGTTATAGGAACACCTAGAACAGCCCTTCTCAACACAGAGTAACCCCTTGAAATAACTTCCTGGTCTCAAGGAACTCCTGCTAAAAAATGAATATATCTACAACTCATGATACATTAGTGTGATGGTCAGTGGGAAGAATGCTCCTTTCACTTGTGGTCATTGGGAAGAATTACTCCCATACAGATCGCTAAAAAGATCAATGGTGTCAGTGGAAACCTATCTGAGAGGTAGAAATTGCTCAAGGAACCCCTAGCAACCTCTGGAGGAACCCTGGTAGAGAAACCCCAACCCAGAACTTTCTGGTGATTAGGAACAGGAATTATGGAAGGGGGGGAATCTTGCTATTGGAGACTAGAGGTCATAAAGGACGTCAGAGACCAAAAACGTATTTTTTTTTGAGAGTCAGTTTTCTTAAACCTCCAGATTTGCAGACCTGGCAGATTATTCTGCCAAGTCTAATGTACAAGTCAGTATAGTTGGTGTCCAAAAATATGGGCAAAATGGAGAACTAGCAGAGTCATTAAAACTTTTGGCCGACAAAAAAAAAAAAAAATAATATATGACTAACCTCCACCAATACAAGTAGCTGCAGCTATAGATTCTCCTCTCAGCCATATACATAGTAAATGGGATTTCACGGTGGAGAGGGCAGGTTTCCAACAAGCAGGTGATGCAACATTCAGCCAAAGACTGCAATCAGGGTGTAGCAATCCTAAAGCAGTACTTACAACTCCAGCATCCTAAAATCAGTGAAGACACAAGTGTAGCAATCCTCAAGTACACAGTGAGGCAAATCAGTGTTAGGACACAATTCTGGAAGCCAACCAGGGTGACTGGAGAGCAGCAACAAAGCCACGGAGAGTGACAATGCAGCCAGTAAATACAATGCAACCGGGCCGAGCAGGCGAGGCCAGAGGGGAACTGAGGATACAGTGTAACATTGTACCAAGACTGATTACTCCCAATGCTGGCTAACAAAAGAGCACCTTACAATGCAGAGGAGAGGGTCCAGCTGACCAAACTGTAACAATGACATTGGGACCCATTACAGGAATGGGGAAAGATAATGCATCCAATAAAATACAAGGTAACCTTATTAAATTCATTATAAAAGGCTGAGGACACATTTTTAACATTTGATTTTAAATCTGGGATTGCTTGTTGTGTCTGAATGAACCATTTCTTTTCAAAAATTACATTTTTGATAGGAAAAAAAAAAAAAAAAAAAAAAAAAAAAGTTGAATTCCCAATTTAGGACTTCAGATTTAATTGAAAAAAATTGGAGCATGGAGATGTGTTAGATGCCAGAAAGAAAGAAAAAAAAAAAAAAAAAAAAAAAAAAAAAAAAAGACCAAACAATACTCAAAAGGATTAAAAAAAATTGTCAGATCAGCTGACTGGATTAAAGGTTATAGGGACATTGTTAGAGGGTTTAATGGAGCAACTGGGATACATTGTACCAATGTGTATATAGACCTCATTACTGGGCATTATAGATCAGCCAGGTTACATTGTACCAACGTGTATATAGACCTCATTACCGGGCATTATAGATCAGCCAGGTTACATTGTACCAACGTGTATATAGACCTCATTACCGGGCATTATAGATCAGCCAGGTTACATTGTAACAACGTGTATATAGACCTCATTACCGGGCATTTATAGATCAGCCAGGTTACATTGTACCAACGTGTATATAGACCTCATTACCGGGCATTATAGATCAGCCAGGTTACATTGTATCAACGTGTATATAGACCTCATTACCGGGCATTATAGATCAGGCAGGTTACATTGTATCAATGTGTATATAGCCCATATTACAGGGTAATATAATAGATCTGAAATACATTGTATCAATTTGTATTTGGACATCATTACAGGGTGTAGAACAGGATACATTCTAACAATGTGTATATAGACATCATTACAAAGTAATATAATCAACAGGCCAGGATACATGGATACAGTGTACCAGCCTTGGCTCAATTAAGCGACGATGTAACAATAATAGAACAATCAGGATCCAACAATAAACCAGTCGAGATACAATATAAAATGCTCCATCAGTCAAAGCACGCTGTAACAATAACAGATAGGCTACAATGTAAATCTAACAGCCACCACTAGGATAACCAAGGCAGAAAATTGGAGTGTAAACAGAGAGCTCCCATTACCATCTAATGTATCATAATGGGCCCTCTGTACAATGGGTGGATGCAGCACAACAGAACAGCCAGGATACAATGTAACAACGCAGAGAAAGAGCCAACACTGCCTGCCCAGTACAGTGCAATAGATGGTGAAATAGTCGTGCAAGAAAGGATTGAGGCCAAGGAAGATATTTTGTTCGGGTCAACCGGAAATACATTGTATATGATCTGTAGTTCTGATCGTTGATCTATCCACCCAACCAACATGGGTCAACCGGAAATCCATTGTACACAATAGATCGATTGCTCTGATCACCGATCTCTCCAACCAGCTTGGGTCAACCACTGTAAATGGTCACTTGCTTGGATCATTGATCTCTCTCTCTCAACAACATGGGTCAACAGAAATCCATTGTACACAATAGATCATTTGCTCTGATCATTGATCTATCCAACCAGCCTGGGTCAACCACTGTACCATAAATACACGGTACATGGTCACTTGCTTGGATCATTGATCTCTCAATCCAACCAACATGGGACAACCAGAAATCCATTGTACACAATAGATCATTGCCCTGACCATTGATCTATCCAATGATCAGCTTGGGTCAACCACCATACCGTAAATACACTGCAACATGTCACTTGCTTTGATTGCTGATCAATCCACCATGGGTCAACTGGAAATACATTATACATGATCAATTGCTCTGACGGTTGATCCACTCAACCAGAAATCCATTGTATATGGTCACTTGCTTTGAATCGCTGATCCACCCAACCAACATGGGTCAACCAGAAATCCATTGTACATTATAGATCGCTCTGATCATTGATCCACCCAACCAACATGGGTCAACCGGAAATCCATTGTACATTATAGATCGCTCTGATCATTGATCCACCCAACCCAACATGGGTCAACCGGAAATCCATTGTACATTATAGATCGCTCTGATCATTGATCCACCCAACCAACATGGGTCAACCGGAAATCCATTGTACATTATAGATCGCTCTGATCATTGATCCACCCAATAAACATGGGCCAACCGGAAATCCATTGAACATGATCGATAGCTTTGGTCATTGATGTATCCACCCAGCCAACCAGAAATCCATTGTACATGAATGATAGCTTTGATCATTGATTTATCCACCCAACCAACATGGGTCAACCAGAAATCCATTGTACATTATAGATCGCTCTGATCATTGATCTATCCACCCAACCAATGTGGGTCAGCCATAAATACATTGTACATGATCAATCACTCTGATCATTGATCTATCCACCCAACATGGGTCAACTGGAAACACATTGCACATGATTTTGTTCGCTTTGATAACTGATCTAACCAACCCAATAAATTTGGGTCAACTAGAAATACGGTGTAAACTATTGATCGTGGATCTATATCCGCCCAATCTGCATCAACTGTAAATGCACTGTACATAATCACTTTGACTATTGTTGATCTATCCACCCGACCAGCTTGGTTCACCTTAAATACATTGTACACAATCGCTTTGATCACTGATCTCTCCAATCAAATCATTCGGGGGCCAAATGGAAATCCACTGTAGGCAATTGAACACCTATCTATCCATACAATCAGTTTCCACATAAATACACATGTATGGATTGATGTTTGACGGCATGCCATTGTAGGATAACGGATACAATGTAACAGAGCTGAGAATAAAGACAGCCCTTTCTGATGGGCGGAGATCAGCTCTCGCTGCCAACAATGTAACATTACCTGTAATATGAGACACAGGGTGGCTCCTCTTGCAGGGTCCACTGCTGGGACTGAGTGCAGGCTGGGTCCTGTTGGGTTCAATGCTGGCACTTGGGGCAATGGTTGCAGGTTGGGTACTGTTGGCAAGTTCAATGCTGGCACTGGGGGCCGGCTGGGTGCTGTTGATGTTGGTACTGGGGGCCGGCTGGGTGCTGTTGATGTTGGTACTGGGGGTCGGCTGGGTGCTGTTGATGTTGGTACTGGGGGTCGGCTGGGTGCTGTTGATGTTGGTACTGGGGATCACCTGGCACCATTGGCTGGCATTAGGGTGAGGCTGGGCAGCAGGGGCAGCTTGGCACCATTGGCTGGCATTAGGGTCAGGCTGGCCAGCTTGGCACAATCGGCTGGCATTAGGCTCAGGCTGGGCAGTAGGGGCAGCTTGGCACCATCGGCTGTCATTAGGGTCAGGCTGGCCAGCTTGGCACAATCGGCTGGCATTAGGGTCAGGCTGGGTGCTGGAACTGGGTGCAAGTGTGGGTGACACCAGGGCCATGTAGGGTGCTGCTGGTGCTCCTCACCCTGTGGGGTGCCCTGTAGACGGCTGGCACCGAGTCCTCCCCACTCTCCTCCCAGACATAACGGCTGCTGGGTAGGGGCACCCCCCTCTGGAAGTCAAAGTCCCACCTGCGGCTGCTCTCCTCCTCCATCTCCCGCAGCCTGCTGTACAACTCCCGGCTCAGCTCGGCATGATCCACCGGTCCAAACAGGCTCCTGCACACCGAGGGGCCCGGCCTGGGGGCCACTTCTGCCTGCTGTACATTGCACATCTTTTCCCCCCGGGGCCAGCGATCACCTCCCGGCACCTCCACCCTGTCCCACCGGCTACGGCTCCGAGGGGACAATCGCTGTTTTCTACACACACTCAGGGGCCCCGCCCAAAACACGGGGAAGGCACCGCCCCCGGAGCGCTCGGATTGGACGCCCGGAGGTGTACGCTACACAGCTGATTCTGGCCTAGCGGTGAGGGTGGAGTCAGGCCACGCCCACTCTGCACTCATCGGGTCGGGAGGGTCAGGTTACTCTACTACAACTCTGACAGCTGCCTGCCGGGTCCTAGAGGGAAATCCCTTGAAGAGAAGCGCTGATCGGGGCTATAACAAAGCCTGGGTGTAGCTGGGGCATTTATTTTCATTTTCAGAGGGAAATTCCTTTAAGGGAGCTTGGGGCTTGTAAACAATTCACTAATCAGAAGCAACGGGTATGGAAAAAGCTGGATACATGCTGGCACCATCCAGGCGGCACTGCCAGCCGGGCTATCCCGAACAGTTGGGCAATTATTCCTTGTGATACCCATGAAGCAGAATGGGGGAGGGGTGTGTTTTGAAGATACCTTTGGCACAGGCTCCTAAAGTTCCAAAGGCAGCGATATACACTCACCGGCAGAGGCGGACTGACCCATTCGAACACTCAGGCACTGCCCCAGGGCCCGGGGTCAGTAGGGGGCCCCATGAAATGCCCTTTGGTACCTTTTATAGGATTTTTTGGGTGTGCTTTGAGTGTGGGAAAGGACACAGGGGCCCCATGATCCCCTATTGCCCGGGGGCCCCATGAGTTGTCAGTCCGCCCCTGCTCACCGGCCACTATATTAGGTCCACCATACTAGTGCCAAGAAAATCTCCCCCACACCATGACACCCCCAGAATGAACCATTGATACAAGGCAGGATGGATCCACCACACCATGACACCACCACCAGCCTGAACCATTGATACAAGGCAGGATGGATCCACCACACTACCAGCCTGAACCGTTGATACAAGGCAGAATGGATCCACCACACCATGACACCACCAGCCTGAACCATTGATACAAGGCAGGATGGATCCACCACACCATGACACCACCAGCCTGAACCGTTGATACAAGGCAGGATGGATCCACCACACCATGACACCACCAGCCTGAACCGTTGATACAAGGCAGGATGGATCCACCACACCATGACACCACAGCCACCAGCCTGAACTGTTGATACTAGGCAGGATGGATCCACCACACCACCAGCCTGAACCGTTGATACAAGGCAGAATGGATCCACCACACCATGACACCACCAGCCTGAACCATTGATACAAGGCAGGATGGATCCACCACACCATGACACCACCAGCCTGAACTGTTGATACAAGGCGGAATGGATTCACCACACCATGACACCACCAGCCTGAACCGTTGATACAGGGCAGGATGGATCTACCACACCATGACACCACCACCACCAGCCTGAATCGTTGCTACAAGGCAGGATGGATCCACCACACCAGGACACCAGCACCACCAGCCTGAACCGTTGATACAAGGCAGGATGGATCCACCACACCACCACCACCAGCCTGAACCGTTGATACAAGGCAGGATGGATCCACAACACCACCAGCCTGAAGTGGTGACACAAGGCAGGATGGATCCACCACACCATGACACCACCAGCCTGAACCGTTGCTACAGGGCAGGATGGATCCATGCTTTCATGTTGTTCTTTGAGTTACTGTTGCCTTTCTATCATCTTGAACCAGTCTGCCTGCACTCTGCCTGACATCAACAAGGCATTTTCATCCACACAACTGACACTCACTGGATATTTTCTCTTTTTCGAACCATTCTCTGTAAACCCTAGAGATGGTTGTGCGTGAAAATCCCTGTAGATTAGCAGTTTTTGGAATACTTAGACCATCCCGTCTGGCAAAAACAACTATGCCACATTCAAAGTCGCCTAAATCCCCTTTTATTCCTTATTCCCCAGAGCCTCTTTATCAGCCTTTCACAACCTCTTACCACTGAGGAACCCTGAAGTCTTGGGAACTCCTACTGAAACCAATTTGTTGGGGGTCAATGGCCATTGGTGGTTTGTAGGAAGAATGCAACCTTTACCAGAGTGGTTAGAATTCCACCCTTACAGACAGATAAAAAGATTATTGGGTTATACAGCTGGTTTTACCAAGTAATGTTGATCCTGGAATGATCCAGGAACCATCAACCAGGAGGTCAATCAGCCACAACTCAAGGGACCCTTAGCATGAGTCTCCCAAGAACATATCCATTACAACTATTAATGCTTTTTTACATAAAATATTTTCCAGGAGTTTTTATAGTCTATATCGTATTCAAGCCCGGATGAAGATGGATTGACCCCCAAAACCCTTTGGCTTCCTTTTATTGTCTCAGTTTTATCAGCAATTAATGTTTATGGGTCTATGAGATGACCAGAGGCCACTCTTGTCGATCTTGTAAGAAACCCCTAGCAACTTCTGGAGGATTCCAAGTGTCTCATGGATTCAAGTGGTGTTGATTCTGGAATGATGCAGGAACCATCAACTAGGATGTCAATCAGCCACAACTCAGGGAAGCTTGGCATGAGTCTCCCAAGTACACGTCCACTACAACTATTAATACTTTTTTACATAAAATATTTTCCAGGAGTTTTTATATAGTCAGAGTCCTTTATGAAGCTTTTCCATATCGTATTCAAGCCCTGTTGAAGGTGGATTGGCCCCTGAAACTCATTGGCTTCTTTTTATTGTCTCATTTTATCAGCAATAAATGTTTATGGATGTATGAGATGACCAGTGGACACTCTTGTCAATCTTGCAAGAAAGCCCCCATCAACGTCTGGAGGAACCCAAGGGTCTCACAGATTCAAGTGGTGTTGATTCTGGAATGATCCAGGAACTATCAACCAGGAGGTTAATCAGCCACAACTCAAGGGACCCTTAGAATGGGTCTCCTAAGCATGCGTCCATTGCAACTAATAATGCTTTTCTACATAAAATATTTTTCCGGAGTTTCTACTGTCAGAGTCCTTTATGAAGGTTCTCCATACCTTGTTCAAGCCCTGATGGAGGCGGATTGGCCCCTGAAACTTATTGGCTTCCTTTTATTGTCTCAATTTTATCAGCAGTGATGTTTATGGGTTTATGAGATGACCAGTGGACACACTTTTCGATCTTGCTTGAAACCCCTAGCAACTTCTTTAGGAACCCAGGAGTCTCACGGATTCAAGTAATGTTGATTCTGGAATGATGCAGGAACCATCAACCAGGAGGTCAATCAGCCACAACTCAAGTGATACGTAGCATGAGTCTCCCAAGTATGCGTCCATTGCAACTATTAATACTTTTTTACATAGACTCCTTTCCAGGCGTTTTTATGGTCAGAGTCCTTTAAGAAGCTTCTCCATATGTTATTCAATCCCTGATGTAGGGAGATAGGCATTGGCTACCTTTTATTGTCTCAATTTTATCAGCAATAAATGTTTATGGGTATATGGGAAGACCAGCTGCCTCTCTTCTCGAAGAAACCCCTAGCAACGTCTGGAGGAACCCAAGTGTCTCACAGAACCTGGGTTGGGAGTGGTTGCTCCTTTCTCCAGCAGGTAAGAAGGTAATGAGCAGAGGAGCTGGGCCTGCACAGACAGCAATTGGACCCTCCCAGAATGTTTATGGGTTTATGAGATGACCAGTGGACACACTTTTTGATCTTGCAAGAAACCCCTAGCAACTTCTGGAGGAACCCAGGGGTCTCACAGATTCAAGTAATGTTGATTCTGGAATGATGCAGGAACCATCAACCAGGAGGTCAATCAGCCACAACTCAAGTGATACGTAGCATGAGTCTCCCAAGTATGCGTCCATTGCAACTATTAATACTTTTTTACATAGACTCTTTTCCAGGCGTTTTTATAGTCAGAGTCCTTTAAGAAGCTTCTCCATATGTTATTCAATCCCTGATGAAGGGAGATGGGCATTGGCTACCTTTTATTGTCTCAATTGTATCAGCAATAAATGTTTATGGGTTTATGAGAAGACCAGCTGCCTCTCTTCTCGAAGAAACCCCTAGCAACTTCTGGAGGAACCCAAGTGTCTCACAGAACCTGGGTTGGGAGTGGTTGCTCCTTTCTCTGTCAGCTAAGAAGGTAATGAGCAGAGGAGCTGGGCCTGCACAGACAGCAATTGGACCCTCCCAGAAGAGAAGAGGGCTATGATGTGCAAGTAGGGAGGGGGATATGCTAGGAAGTTGACTTTTTCTGGAGTAGTTAGTTCCCTAGTAAGTTCAGAGGCACATTGCTAGTGATTAAATAACTTGTGGAAAGGAACAATGTTGCAAGCTCTGTTCTTTACCTGCTGATAGGATCCCTTTCCGCAAAGCAAGTGCTATCTGAACAGTTATGCACAATAAACCAATCAGGGTAATATGCGCTTTCAGTGGCTGGAGAGCTCATTGGTCATCAAATTCCAAAAATGAACATGTGATCATGGTGGACTGAGCTGCATCATGTGCCTCCTTATATCAGATACATCCTGATCGGATTCTGCTGCTGCCAGGGCTTCTCTAGGACCCAGCAGACCGTCTCGCTCTCTGCAGAGCATTGTCCCCACCCAGTGATGTCCAATCAGAGGCGGAGTCTGTGCGTTTCTGTGTAGTAGTGACGTGACAGGTCCCCAGCACCCTGCAGACACTTGTCCTTTGTTTGCTGTGTAGTATGTTGCTGTCAGTTCTGTGTGCAGTGAGGGGGTGGAGCCTGGTCTTTAAACTACAGCTGAAAGTGACACCGCCTGACCTGCTGCCAGCGGAGTCACCCATGTAACCCTGAAATGACCCTGTCACTTTTCACCAAAACAACCGCTACACACGTGAAGATGATCATCCACTATCTGAGTTGAATTTAGTTGACCAATTTAGCACTGGCAGTGTTTTTTTTTTTTTCAGTACCCAACCCAAAAAATTCCCCTTTCTGTTGTTTGTTAGGCTAGTCATATACATGAAATCT